GCAAAAAAATCCGTGCGTCGTAAATACAAATGGACATTTACAAAATGCGACGTTGAAAAGCATTGCGATACCCTTAGATGATTTTGTATGATAGTAAACAAATACATATTGTTAAGAAGATTTCGAAAAACAAACGTTAAAGATAAAAAAACACGTGACAAAGATAAACGTACATGTAATTTACCAAATTACTTATGTCGCCAAATTGGGAATAATTGTTTTACAAAATCATCTGTTCAATAATTACATACCATTTTTAATTACATATTGTTTTTCAGCGGCACTGTGATACAAAGTATGATTTGAAAAAAAAGAAGACAAATGCGTTACAAGGGCACTGCACAAATACATTACTCAACAAACAAACAAAAAACACAGCATATAAGTTTGTTTTCTAAAACATACCTTATAATTCCGTAGTTTGTCCACTTGAGTGCTCCAACTGAACATTTTTGTCTAAGTGGAACAAATTTTCTCTGAGACTGCAACTTTTCAACGTCACAAATCTGTAAAATATTAAATTTTTTTAAGCATTATTACACTTTATCCGTCGGACTTTTCAGCTTTTGTTTTCTAAACAGACAAAGAGATTTGTACATTAAAAGACAGCATAAACATTGAACCATTTGAACTAAGATCTTTGATATCCATTCAAAAATTGTACCTAGGAATCTTCTGACTTTATGGAATACATTTACTTCCTCAGGATCCCACTTAAACTTTATAAACATTTAAATATAAACACGTGGGTGGAACTCCATAAATATGGATGGGGGCAACGGAAATTCACATATTCTTTTTACCGATGCTCATTTTTAAAATTCATATTGCCCGTAATAAAACTAATATCTGAAAACTACATGTACATGGCTAGCCGAGGATATAAAGAATTCTCTAGGCTCAAAATCGAATTTCGTTTTTTTTGGTCAGAAACTGCCACGAAATGTACACTGACCAATAAACATCATGTTATTTGAGACAGATCTTAGATAATTGTTTTTAACAACATTGAGGCCAGGACGAATCCTAATATGGTCGGGTTGCCACAATCGATGCAATCTCCTCTTCGATTTTGATCCGATGCTTTATGCCGTCCTTATCCGAAGTTTAATGGAAAGGGCCGAAAAGTTACGATTGTTTATTACTAAGGTTATTACCGTTATCTCTCCGTCGTTATCAGATATGGCCAATGCTTTGTCTCTTGGACTCCAGGCCAGTGCCGATATATAGTAATATGATTGTGGAAAATGTATTTCAATTCTCTGACAGTCTTTGGACTCGGCGTCCCATACATATGCTGACTGGAACAGTGCAACGGCAATTAAATTCTTATTGCTCCAATCTAGCAAATTTGTGTCTGGAATAAAAAAAGGTTATAAAAATACATAAATTAACCTTTGTGTTATATTTGACAATACTACATAGAGTTTTAAGGATACAAGCCCATTATATTTTTTGTCTTTTATGGTGGGACAATTAATTATATTAAGGAGATATTAGATATCTTATGTTTGATCTCATACATGTGACATTCATTTGTGATATTTAAAATCAAAAATACGTTTAATATTTTGAATAGTCTTTGTTTTGGTTGGTTTTATGGCGCAACAACATAATTAAGGTCATATGGCGCAGAAATACGAAAGCTTCGGGTTCTCAAGCTAAAAGCAACACCAGAGGGACAAAAACACCTCACCTGCTGGAGCAAAGAGATGCATAGACTCATGTAATTCGAACCTAATCACGAAGGAATAACTGGTGGCTGCAATTCTGATGCCTCAAACCTTAAAGGTAACCGTTCAGTCAGAAGAGACATTGAAAAGTCTTTACATTGTTATATATCTTACCATAAAACATAAGCATTTCTGAAGAAAGTCCTATGAAAAGACACCCTGGATTGCACAATAGTTTACCAGAGAAGTACGTGGGAATCATTCATAAACAGGGATCTTTTTGTTTTGTTTTGGGTTTTACGTCACACCGACACATGCAGTATAGGTCATTTCGCGACGTTCCAGCTTTACTGGTGGAGGAAGACCTAAGGTGCCTTTTCGTGCATTATTTCAGGCACGAACCGGCACCTGATTTGAACCACAGAGGTTCCTTAAGCTAGCTGGATAGCTTCCAAAGTCCCTGTCGGGATTCGAACCCACAGCGATGAGGGGCAAGTGGTTTGCAAGTCAACAACCTTAACCACTCAGCCTCGGACGCCCCTAAACAGGGAATTAAAAACACATTTCATAGCACATATACATACAGATATACAAAATATACTTGGTTACTGGTCTTACAAAAATCGTCTCTAAGTCCTGGCATGTCCATGATGCAATCTGGTGATGTCGGAATACTTCGGATTTTGTCAGTTGTTGGAGAACTGTACCCTTCATCTGGTCTTGTAGGAAATAGTTGAGTCAATCGCTTTTTGAAAGGACCTGCAGAGGACAAATGTCAAATATCTTAAGTGCTAGACTTTGGTGGTTCAGAGGAGAAAAAAATCAATTTTACTATATACAACATATGAAGAAAATCCCTGACCCCCGACGTAGGACCAATTTGACCACAGACCAAATGAACAATTTTGTACAGGCCCGCTGCAAAATGTTCAACGTAGGATATATCAAAGCTCTAGTACTGAGAAGTATTTTCTTTCGTTTACCACGGAAACAATAGTTCTGCTTTGAATGTTCTTTTTAACAATAATGAAAAAAGTTTGTCCGATAATCATTCTTATAATCTTTGAAGTCATTCATCAATGGTTTAGTAGCAGGTGTTCTTCAAAATATTGCGAACAGACGGACGCCGCAAAGTGAGTGATCACAATAGCTTATCTTGAACACTTTGTGCTCAGGGGAGTTAATAAAAGTATAGAGAAATAGACATACAGTTGTCTTTAATCTACAGTTACAAGTACACATGAACAGTTATCTTGTTTTCCTCGTGCATAATATGCAGTTACTTTATGTAACAGTTATTATACTCAGATAATTGTTCAAATGACTATGGGCGGTTTTTTTCGTGTATAAATAAAACATGGCATTGTGTATACACAAATGTACTGTGTTTTACATTTTTTCACTATTCACAGTCATTGTTTGTGCGTATTTGTATACTAGAAATACTGCAAAATAGTAATTTACAATGCTTGATCAACGAAATAATCTTAAAGTACTGCAACAAATATTTTGTATATCTATAAATACAAAGCAGTATTATATACATGTAAATAGTTAATATGTAAAACACAAGGTAATGTATACTAAAACCGGTAATTTCTAGGAAAAAATTGTCAAAAAAATAACAGCAAAAACATTCGACAAACACTTATTTTGTCCTTATCATTCATCGACAAAAATTAATAAAAAAGTACAATGGAAAAATCATACTTGCGAATGGTTTACTGCATATCGGCAAAACATTTCCATCCTCCACATGCGTTGTTTCTGACAAAAGTCGAGCGTACGATTTTGTAACTGGGCTCTTGAACTGACCAAGTTCATTCTCTGCACAGTCCGGTAAACGCAGCATAAGTCTCGCGTGTGACGTTTCAACATCCAAGTTCGGCCGGAAAGGTATGAATCTATCAAACGCCGTCCGATGAAACCTTGTGTACTTCCGTTCAGCCATATTGGTATATACTAATTGTAAATAATCTTTCACACCTTTTTTAAATGGATTATTCAACAGTACGCCACGATTGTACATGAATAGCCAGGTGTACACAGAGCCACGGTTTGCACGGGGTTTTCGTGGCTATACTTCGGACACTACAGTTACATGTACAACCTACATGTATTTTCTTTTGGATCACGAGGATTGTGTTCATAAATTTCATCATTAGAGGGTGAACGGACATTTGGTCCGCAGAAGAACTCAAGCTAACTTTGCCCTGCATAATCGGGCTGATGATAATGCACAAACAAGTTTCATAAGCACAATTCTTGCATAATAAAACATGTCTGACTCGTTATTTCGCGTTTTGTTATTGAAAACAATTCCTTGATGCTTTTTACGTGCTAGTGCAATGTTATGTTTACAAATATGTTTTGAAAAGAGACTCATTAAGTTTCGGAAAATTTTTCGTTAGTTTCCGTAATTTATTACGATGTACATAACTTTTAAATTTAAGGATATGAAATTGTCCCATACTTGACTTAATACTAACGTCCCGATGAACCGCCTACGTGGTCGAGGGTAATAGTCGATGACGTCTAATCCAGTTACCTCTCAGGCGTGTGTTCGATCCCTTTGGTATTTTAGCGCGGAGGAAGGAAGTCTAGTACTGGTGTAACTCTGCAGGAACGATGATTAGGAAACTATCCGCCTATATGACTGAAATACTGTTGGGAAAAGGCATAAAATGAAACAAACAAACAAACAGTCGCGACGTTGCAGGTTCAAATCCTCAACATATATTTTTTTCTAATTTCTTTCATTATTTTTTTTATTATATTCAGTATTAGTGGATAAATATATTCTTTGATTCATTGTGCCTTTTTTTATAAAAAAAATCAACATAACTTTAAAATAAAGATGTATATGAATATTTTCATGATTTCAATCTGTAGAGTCGTACAATGGGTGATTGGCGTGCACAAAAACCACTTACCCGCTTTCCAGGGGATGGTGTATTAAACATATTGTTTAGGAAATGGGTTCTGAATAGTTAATTTCTGATTTAAAATAATAAATAAGGGTATATTTTTAAGATAAATATAGTATTATCTGTGACAAGTATGAGAGAAGTAACATATTTTAGCTAATAGCACGTCCAACTATTTTTTAAGCATTTTCATGAGTTCGTACGCCCCATTCCCACCCACTCTAGGTATACACTCTCAATCCAAATAGGTACTAAATGGTGAAGTCCAAAATTCTCCTCGGAGCATCCTATATATCATGCCTGGTGTTGGGGTCACACCCAAATTTATGACATAGATATGGATTCTATTGAAGCCCAAAGGTGCCAATTTTTATTGACTGCATGTTTCAATAAACAAAAATTCTTACGCAGTGATATTGTTTTATTTTTTCTTCTATTTGAATAAAAAAACAACATCGAAACATTTCTAACCAAAAATGCAAAAAATTCCAGTACATTTTTCTTTTTCCTCGATTGTGAGAAAGGCATCGACACACAAATTCATCTGTTTGCTAACGTTGTCAATTAACTGAATATTAATATGATAATCCCCCTGAAAAATATATAGAAAAATGGACTATACATGTATTAATTTGTTTATTGCATTTGTGATTGAAAAAAATATAAATTACTGACGTGTTTTGCTTTATATTTGGTTATCGATAAATTTTGTAATGATATTCGTACTCAATCTCGTAGTTTCAAGTACAGAAAAGTTGAGGTTACCCATATAATATATACGGGAAATCATCGGGCCTCCGTTGCCGGAAGACCCGGATCACTGATTTTAAAAAATACCAGATCTTTCCATGTATATTTGGTTCTTCTTTCACATGAGAAATTTACCCAATCTTACTCACAGTTTTCTACCGGTATATTATTTCGATATTTTAACATCCTTACTGCTGTAGATTCGAATCCCGACATGGAATTTGGATTCTTTTATGTGAGGAAACAAACAGCCAGCTAACGGAACGTGTTTCTATACTCAGGTGCTTCTCAGGTGCCCGTTCGTGCCTGAAATAATGTACGGAAGGGCATTTGCTGTCTTCCTCCACTAGAAAACCTGAGTAGTCGCCATGACCTATATTGTGTGGTGAAACGTAAAAATCAAACAAACAAATATCCTTACTGCAGCAAAGTGTGAAAGTGCTGATGGTATTTCCGGAAGATGGATAGACTGGTGGTCAATCTTGAGGGTCTGTGCAGGTTGAGGGCATCGGGATGCATCTATACCACTGTTGGCAAGGATGGTCTTGAGCTGTGTAGCAATACCGGAAGTGACACCCAGCCAATTTTCGTTAATCATCTGATCAACTAGGGTACATAAGTCTGGATATGAGCTGAAACAGTAAGACACTGTGTTTAAAGAATGCAATTTGCGAACTTGCGAGTGAATTAGCGATGTTTTATTATTGTTAAACAAAACAGTTTTTTGTCCTTGATATTACTAGTCAGTGCTCAACCTGACAACTTAAAAAACTGAATACGAAAGTCATCCAGATAATCGCGACAAGACATCCAACTTCCCTTAACCAAAGTCTGTCCCCAACTAACATTAACACATCCCAATTTCACATGCCCAACCTCACACACACGCATTCAAACATGCCCCCGCCTCACACACACGCAGGCAAACATGCCCCCGCCTCACACACACTCAGGTACACATGCCCCGCCTCACATACACGCAGGCAAACAGGCATCGCCTCGCCTCACACACACACGCAGGCAAACATGTCCCACCTCATAAACACTCAGGCAAGCACACTTTAAATTAACCCGTAATGGTTGATTTACCAAGATCCAATGTGGGTTATGCACGGTACTGGGATATCTACAGGCTTACCTCACACCACGCAAACATGCCCCTGCCTCACACACAGGCAAACATGCCCCGCCTCACATAAACGCACGTGAACATGTCCGCCTCACACACAGGCAAACATGCCCCGCCTCACATACACGCCAAGTAAACATGCCTCGCCTCGCCTCACACACACACGCAGGCAAACATGTCCGCCTCATATACACTCAGGCAAACACACTTTAAATTAACCCGTAATGGTTGATTTAACCAAGATCCAATGTGGCTTATGCACGGTATTGGATATCTACAGGCCTACCTCACACCAACGCAAACATGCCCCCGCCTCACACACAGGCAAACATGCCCCGCCTCACATACACGCAGGTAAACATGCCTCGCCTCGCCTCACACACACACACGCAGGCAAACATGTCCCGCCTCATATACATTCAGGCAAACACACTTTAAATTAACCCGTAATGGTTGATTTACCAAGATCCAATGTGGCTTATGCACGGTATTGGGATATCTACAAGAAATGTTTTCCTCTTGACTGACAGGTTAAGAGTTGAACTTCCAAGAGGGGCGGTACTGTTGGCTGCCATTGTCATCACCAAATCACCTGGTATAACAACAGGGTCCGGCCCTATCTCCACATTGCTTACTTTCAGGATAGCGTCTGGCGGGGCTGGAAAAGATATTAACATGACTGTATTCAAAACATTGCAAAATAGAATTATCACTAAATGTGATACCCTCGCAACAAGACTGTTTCGGAAATGAGGAAGTTACTTGTAACAAAGAACTGAAATAGAGTTAGGGATGTGGGCAATTAAAGATAATTGTGGTTATTGTATGTTGCATTTTCTTTAAATGTGGTTGACCATTTATGAAATTTAATTGAATTACTCCAATGTAAGAAGTCCATAAAGAGTTACGCTTCTTGATCACTGCACTTCCTCTAATTGTGCTTGACCATTGTATGAAATTGCATTGAATTCTAAACATAAGTTTTTAAGCTGTGCACCGGACAAGGAAAAAGAACAAAGGGCAATAAATCTACAAGTACTGAAGATTGAGTTATGGTAATTGTACACTGCACTTCCTCTCATTGCCCTTGATCATTGAATGAAGTTGTATTTAATTCCAACAATTAGATTTCAAGTTATACACTAGACAAAACAGTAACAAAGGGCAATAACTTTAATTTGTCCAAAAAGAGTTATGGTACTTGTGCACTGCACTTCATCTCACTGCCCTTGACCATTGTATGAAGTTTCATTGAATTTCAAACACTAATTTTCAAGTAATGCACTAGACAATAAAATGTAACAAAAGGCAAAACTCTTAAATGAGTCAAGAAAGAGTTATGGTTTCTGTGCACTTTCTGTGCACTGCGCTTTCTCTCAAAATACTTGACCTTTGTATGAAATTGTATTGAATACCAACTTGTAGTTTTCAAGTTATACTCTGGACAAGAAAAAGGCAATGGAAAAGTAACAAAGGGCAATAACTCTATAATTACTCTGGACAGAGTTAAGGTTCTTAAGCACTGCACTTCCTCTTACTGTGCTTGACTATTGTATGAAGTTGTTTTGAAATCCAAGCAGTATTTTTCAAGTAATGCTCCGGACAAGGAAAAGTATCAAAGGACAATAACTCTGTAATTAGTCAAGATATAGTTATGGTTTTTATATACTGCACTTCTTCTTAATTAGCTTGATGATTGTATGAAGTTGTATTGAATTCCAACGAATAATTTTCAAGTTATGCTCCAGACAATGAAAAGAAACAAAGGGCAATAACTCTTTAATTAGTCAAGATGAGGTTATGATTCTTGTGTACTGCATTTGTTCTCAATGTGATTGACCATTGTATGTAGTTATATTGAATTCCAACCATAACTCTTGAATTTATGGTACGGACAAAAGAAAGCTATGGAAAAGTAACAAAGGGCAATAACTCTGTAATTACTTTAGATAGAGTTATGTTTTTTGTGCACTGTATTTCCCCTTATTGTGTTTGACCATTGTATGAAGTTGATTTGAATTCTCAAGATATGCTCCAGAAAAGGGAAAGTAACGAAGGACAATAACTCTGTAATCAATCAAGATAGAGTTATGTTTCTTGTGCACTGCACTTCCTCTCATTGTGCTTGATCATTATAAGAAGTATTATTGAATTCCAATCATTAGTCTTCAAGTTATGCTCCGCAAAAGGAAAATGCAACGGACTGCTTGACCGACCGACCACCCGAACGACCAACCACCGAGTGACTCCTATACCACCGAGTGACTCCTATATATCCCCCCAACTTCGTTTCAGGGGTATAATTATGCTCTTCATTTTGACAATGATATTTATCGTATGTTGGGTAATAGCTATTTTTATATTACTTAAATTAGTACTATTATATACATGTATAAAATTAAAGTGTGCCATGACCGGTAATATACATGTAGTTATCTATAGTGTTTTAATTATTTTGGCAGATTCCAATTCATATCGACTTTATTCATTTTGTAGAGTAAGACCTTTACTGCTCTCTCCTCCCCCCCCCCCCCCCCCCCCCCCCCCCCCCCCCAATAAAAAAAAAAAAAAAAAAAAAAAAAGAATTACAAAAATGATATTTATGTACTCAAATCACGCTAAATAACATTTCTTGAAGTTTAAGCATGAATTTCTGTTTAAATTCTTTATATTTTGGGTTTGAGGTATAAAGGTTGAACAAAATTTAGAATAGAATCACCAAATATTTTTAAAACAAGTCACATGACTTGAACAAACCCTTGAAGTTACAATAACAGATATTGTGGATATTGTATGATTGAAACAAGTCTAAGTCATTCTATTTGACATGTTCTTTTAGGAAATCATTATTTCATTCTTTATATGGAGAAAAGTTTTGTTCCTTTGACTGTCTAATATATTCATTTTTAAGGCATTTGCGGAATAATGAATGAAAAAATCAAAACAAAGAAATGAAAATTTTGCCTGTGTCTCCCTTTAACAGGACATGTATTTTGTTGCAAAAAATTATGACCTTAGGATCATCGTCATAATTATGAATCATGGCTTAAGTCGAACCAACGACAATAAATGAGAATTTTCGAGTGATCAACATGACTTGTTAAATTGAAAATAGAAGTCTTCAAGTAGGCCTTAATCATTTTGTTGTACAAGCTTTAGCAAGTCAACATATTCAAACTCATTACCAATGTGTTAGAGCTAATAGTTATTTTGCCTACTTCACGTGAATTAGTTTATACATATTATTAAGAATGTTTAAATTAGAATCTTACCACAATTCGTCCATGTAAACTTGGCACTTGCGGCTAGGAAATGGAAAGAAAGAATTATTCCGATGAATATTTTAATCATGATGCCGGCTGTTCGTGTCACTGTGCCAAGTGTTCACTTTGAAAGGAACTTACGACTGCACTGCTTTATCAAATCAAGGTCATTGCCCTGACCTAAAGATAAGACATCATGTTGGAACATACGTTAACATACATGCACTATAGTTTATAATTCGTCGTATGACGATGAATAATTAACGTAACGAAATCTTCCGAAATCGACTAAAATATCATTTTTGTTTCATGTTTTTTTTTATAAAAATCATATAAGAACAACCTTCGCGTGAGGCAGTATGTAATATTTAAACTATTATGGTAGCAGGATAAACAACAGCAACACGTGCATATAACTTGTTTACTTTTTTTTTTACTAATAAGGAACCAAACACACTTGGGGAGTACGGGTAACGTCGCAAAACAACAATCGGCAAATACATGTAATATTAAACTTATTTTTTATCCGTATAGTCTATGAAAATGAGTTAGGTAGAAGCAATATATTGTATTTGAGATTCATCAGCAAATGGTATTTCAACGTGTTAGAGATAAATTAATTCATCACGTGGTTTTGTCATCTCTGTCAGGACAGAGATCTTGTAGACGGTATTGGTCATGTGACGCCTCACGATTCATTACAATATAATGTCCTCATTAAAGACCTATTTCATAACATTTTGTATTTATATTATCAGGTTACATAAAACAATGTAAGTATGACATCACATGTAAGTAATCATTAGATGCTCCTGGATAATTATAGAACAGACCGTGTCGTCTGCGGCTATATGTAAATCTTAGATCCTCTTACGGAAAATTGTGTGTGTATTTTTAATGATAGTTAAAGAAATGCTAAATGTACGGAAGCGTCCTGGTGCCACTTTAATATGTTCTATAAAAAAAGATAACTCCTACGTAGGACTTTGTAACTTCTACGTAGGAGATAAAAAGAAAACTTAATTAGGAGTCCTACGTAGGACTTACAAACTCCTATGTAGGACTTTATATCTCCTACGTAGGAGTTAAAAAAGCCTGATTAGGAGTCCTACGTAGGAGTTTAAAAGTCCTACGTAGGAGTTTATAACTCCTACGTAGGACTTTATATGTGTTCCGCTGCGTAGGAGTTATAAAGTCCTAATAAGGTTTTTCTATCTCCTACGTAGGAGTTAGAAAGTCCTACGTATCTATAAAAAAAGTCCTACATAGGAGTTTTGAAGTCCTACGTAGGACTTATGAAGTCCTAATTAGGCTATTTTTATCTCCTACTTAGGAGTTATAAAGTCCTACGTAGAATTTATGTACAAAGTCCTACGTAGGAGTTATCTTTTTACGCTTCCGTATAAATGTGATCAAATGGAAGCCTCTTACTGCAATCACAATGCAAGCATATATTACACGGCCTTACATCTCCTTTATTTACTTCGAAATTTTCAGCGAGCATATTAAACATAATTAAAGATATTCAACTATACACAACTATTCAATATGAACTTTAACTAAATCCCCGCAGCGGTTACCTCCCCTGACTCCCGTTTTGATAACAAATATATTAGAAGTCCATGTACCTGAAATTAAAACTAAAAGGTACAATTGTATGTTTTTAAGCTATCGGTCTCGCTGTTATTATTACTAAATTTAAGTATAGTTTGTTTTTGGTTGTCTTTTTACTTTGGCCGGGAACCTTCATGTTGGCTGGAAGCAATAAGCTTATAGATACACTTCCGAACCCCTCCTGGAACCTACCAGTACTAAGCAATGAATTTAAAGATTCTTGCTCAAAGTTGTTTTGCCGATGATGGGGGTTTGTTTCAGACACGAGAATGTATCACAATTCCACCGAAACCGAAGGCTTGCTAGAATTGTAGTTTTGATCGATTTGATCCTTTAAATTTCCACATCCATGCAGATGTTACAATTGATTATACTGGCTGGTGCTTGTTTAGAAATAGAATTTTAAAGACCTTGTAAAGTTGGAGAACATTTTGAATACCGACAAGAAGGAAGTTCAGCGAATAAAAGCAAATATAGATATACAGGGCACCCACCACAAGTCTCTCAGAGAAAATTCCGAGACTGGGGCTCAAGTCTTTAAGTCCGTGGGAAGGCTTAGAAATTTGAAGCTGGTTCGAGTATGTTGGGGTGTGGGGGCCGGGTATTTAAATTAAGGTTTCTGGTCAACTGTTAACCAAGATGATGATTGAGTTTTGCAGCATACATTGACGGGAGAGACGGAGTTGAAGGCTGCAATTATGATAAATCAGTTTTTATATATTTCAGATAAAACCGCATCTGTACTGTATTGTCAAAAAGCATGATTGTAGTAACCGATTTTTTAAGCGAGTATGTGCGCGAATTTGAAAAAAAAACTCGAGTGTGCAAATGATCTGAAATCTTGCACTCGAGTAAAGACATCAAATAGTAAGCAAACCTCAGTGGAGTCACTAACAAGAGCTGTCAGAAGGACAGCGCGCTCGACTTTTTTTAGTGCTTGCCTATAAAACAAAACTTTGACAGTTAAGGGCACACAAGACTTTAACTAGGAATTTCTAAGTACAAATCAAGAAACATTTTCACAGAGTTATCTTCTCTTGCTTACAGATAGGTCTCATGATGGCACATAAGAACTCCAACTTCCAAAGTAATATCTCAAATGGTTAGGTCAACAAGTGGACAAGAATGAAAATTTTAACTGAGTTTCTAAGTCAAAAAGGGCCATAATTCAAATAAAATCCTTAACAGAATTACCTTCTCCTGCCCATGTTTGGGACCATGATGGTAAACAAGTATTCCAACTTTCAATTTAATATCTCAACCAGTTCAGTCAAAAAAGTTGACTGGTACAAAAAACTTAACCAAGATTCTAAGTCGATAAAAGGCCTTAATTTTTAAAACAAATCCCTGACAGAGTTACCTTCTCTTGCGTACAGATGGGGGTAATGATGTGAAATAGCATTAAAAGTTTCAAAGCAATATCTCAAAGGGTTAAGGCAATAAGTGGATTTTTACCCATATTCAATGTATTTTCTAAGTCAAAAAGGGGCATAATTCTGTCAAAAACCTTGACAGAGTTATGTCCTCTTGTCTGTTGATGAAGGTCGTGATGGTAAACAAGTATGGTCAGTTTCAAAGCAATACCTCCAATGGTTTTGAAATAAAGTGAGGTGGTACAAAAAACTTAACCAAGCTCAATACACTTTCTAAGTCAAAAAAGGGCCATAATTCTGTCAAAAACCTTGACAGAGTTATGTACTCTTGTCTGTAGATGGAGGTTATGATGGTGAACAAGTATGGTAAGTTTCAAAGCCATACTTGTAATACTTCTGAAATAAAGTGGGGTGGTACGAAAAACTTAACCAAGGTGTGACGCCGACGCCGACGCCGGGGCGAGTAGGATAGCTCCCCTTTTCATAGAAAAGTCGAGCTAAAAAGTGCATGTGTTCTTATAAATGGTAAGATGTCCACTGGTTAAAACGATGTGGTTAAATGAGCAACAACTTGTTTTAAAGCAAACTGATTTTTATTGATTACTTGATAATGATATAGCAAGGCGAAAAAAAGTGTTCTTAACATTTCAAATATTTGACATGATCTTGAAAATCAAGTAAGCAAATTCCTCTTACTAAGTAATATATTAAATGCCTGTATTTTAATTTCCTCTGAATATATTTAAATATTAAGATATCTTAAATAAAATATACTAATCAGTTGTTGTAAAAGCCTTTTTTACATGTATACATTCTCTCGGTAAAAAGCTAACAACCTCCTGAACAAATGTGTAAATCAAAATTATATTCTGAAGAACACAAACTGTGATATCCTTTAACAAAAACACAAATGTAGGGAATAAAATCAGTATACAAAATTATTTTAAAGGCCCATACCGAAATATCTTAAGACACAAACATCATTTAATTAAAATGAAAATAATCTTCAATTTCTACATAAGAAAATACTTGTAATAAATGATCAAATAACATTTGTTAAACAAGAGGGCCATGATGGCCCTAGATCGCTCACCTGAATTATCAAACTCATCCAAACAATTACCTAGACAAGCATTCTGACCAAGTCTCATGACAGGTGAGTCAAAAATGTGACCACTACAGTGTTAACAAGGATTATCCATATTTGAGCAGTGCGACCTAGTTTTTTACCCAGGTGACACATATTCAAACTTGACCTAGAAATCATCAAAACAAACTTTCAGACCAATTTCCAGGATACTTGGATCAAAACAGTAGCAACTAGAGTGTTAACAAGATTTTTTCTATTTTTAGCTCCGGTGACCTAGTTTCACATGCGATTTCGAACTAATCCAAGCAATTACCTAGACAAGCATCCTGACCAAGTTTGATGATAATCGAGTCGAAAATGTGACCACTAGAATGTTAACAAGGTTTTTCCATATTTGGGGCGGTGTGACCTAGTTTTTCATCCAAGATGACCCATGTTTGATCTTGACTTAGAAATCATCAAAAAAAAACTTTCAGACCAATTAACAGAATATTTGGATCACAACAGTAGCCACTAGAGTGTTAACAAGATTTTTCTATTTTTTAGCTCATGTGACCTAGTTTTTCATCCGAGATGTCCCATGTTCGATTTATTCCAAGCAATGACCTATTCAAGTTTCCTGACCAAGTTTGATGACAATTGAGTCAAAATTGTGACCACTAGAGTGTTAACAAGGTTTTTCTATTTTTAGCTCCTGTGACCTAGTTTTTCATCGAGATGACCCATGTTCGAACTCATCCGAGCTATCACCTAGACAAGCATCTTGATCAAGTTTGATGATGATTGATGCAAAAATGTGACCGCTAAAGTGTTAACAAGGTTTTTCTATTTATAGCTCCGGTGACCTAGTTTTTCATCCGAGATGACCCATATTCGAACTCATCTGAGCTATTATCTAAACAAGCATCCTGACAAAGTTTGATGATGATTGGGTCAAAAATGTGACCACTAGAGTGTTCACAAGGTTTTTCTATTTTTAGCTCCTGTGACCTAGTTTTTCATCAGAGATGACCCATGTTCGAACTCATCCAAGCAATTGACTAGACAAGCATTCTGACCAAGTTTGATGATGATTGGTTCAAAAATGTGACCACTAGAGTGTTCACAAGGTTTTTCTATTTATAGCTCCTGTGACCTACTTTTTTCATCCGAGATGACCCATGTTCGAACTCATCCGAGCTATCACCTAGACAAACATCCTGACCAAGTTTGATGATGATTGGGTCAAAAATGTGACCTCTAGAGTGTTCACAAGGTTTTTCTATTTTTAGCTCTTGTGACCTAGTTTTTCATCCGAGATGACCCATGTTCGAACTCATCCGAGCTTTCAACTAGATAAGCATCCTGACCAAGTTTGATGATGATTGAGGCAAAAATGCGACCGCTAGAGTGTTCACAAGAAATTGTGGACGGCCGGACGGACGACGGACGACGGACGACGGACATTCACCGATCCTAAAAGCTCACCCTGAGCAAGCTCAGGTGAGCTAAAAAACAGGAATAATTTTGATTTACATGAGTTGCCAGTCTTTCATGCCTTCAATCATGAATTATAAATATTAAGAAGTGATATAATAATGTTGTAGTATTGGGCCTTTAAACACCGTCTTTCTAACAGTAATAAACTTTATAAAAAAATCAAACTGATATTTACAATCTTGCCACTTGCTTCTATCATAATCAAACAGGTATTTTCATTGGTTGCATAAAGTGAATATAATTAAATATTATGTCAATGTTTAAATATACATGTAGTAGTAGCATAATGTATTATATTATGGCAGCTTTTTGTAAAACCCTAATACAGGTTGAAAGATCTATGGCTGAAAAATGGCACTTTATATCTTCAGATGTCCATCTTACTAAATTGAAAAATTATTTTATTAAATATTAATGTAATAAGTACTAAAGGCTGATGAATCTGCCGCTGTTTTAACTATTTCTACTTCTCGCTCGACCTATTCATGCACAATGGTTGTGGATAGTTAGCTCCTGTTCTAATTGTGGCCAACAATAAATGAATGATTAATAACTGCCAGACAAGATAAAAAGTAGTTAGTGATGCCATTGTTAACATACTTCTCTTTCACCTTATCACCTGTAGTATCAAGAAGCGATCATTTTCTGCAGCAATAGCCAAAATGTGGATAGGCCAGACAAATGAAGCTTACTGGAAAATTAAATCAGAATTTCTAAAACATGAAAAACTAGAAGAAAAAAAAATGTTTGTTAACATGGAACATATATGTCTTTAATGAACAAAACAAAACTTCCCCCATTGTTTTTTTAGATCTCTTATGATAGCGTAATCTTGCATTTGGTCTTCTATATGTCAATGGTTTGCCTCTTGCTAATACACATTCACTGCAAACAGAATCTTAACTCAGCTCTTCATTCTTTATGGTTTGTCTTATAACAGACTTTTTTTTGTTTCTTCATGTGGTGTAATATTATTTCAATAACTTCAAACATATTTATAAACGTTTGCTTACGTATTCATTACAGAATAATTTCATGATGTCAGGAGTTATCTTTCATTACTTCAAAATTGCAGATTTTAATACCATTGACAAAACTTCTTTAACACTGATAGGGTCTTATTTCCCATCTCCCCTTTCTTTTTCAACTGCCACAACTTGTTTATCTTTTTTCAAATCCTTTTTCAGATGATCTATCGGTATTAGATGCTCCTTAGGGGCAACAACCGTCGGCTGGACTGGAGCCTCGATTTGGAGAACGCCATCATTGGTTAGACTGGACTGCAGCTTTTTCGGATCCACGTTTTCCGGAAGCGTGCACTCCCTGAAGAATTCTTGGTAAAACTTACGGCCATCTTCTTCGTGAGCGTGTCTTGCATGGACTTTCAATGTGTTGTCTTGGGTCTGCACGGTGATTTCATTTGGCTTGAACTTGCTGCAGTTAAACCTCAGGCTAAATTTATGTTGCCCTTTTGGATCTGAAGTAAACAAAATACATTTGTTTTACACAAAGCCAGTTCGCAAGTTTTAATGATTGTCCACAAATAAATTCATATCGTAAGCTGTTCTGAGCGACAAAGAGCGGCGTTTTCTTTTATCGTCGAATTTTGACCGTGACCTCTGTGTCAATTTTTATTAACATAAAAAGTTGGATTCTGCACACCTTTCAGTGCATCAACAATCATTAAAATTAAATTGCTTTATATATAATTAAATTGTAAACTAAACAATATATAAGCCAATTACACAGTAACACGATGAAGGTTTTCTGAACAATCATTTCAACAGCCTCGGGTATTATTGATATCGGTAAAATAGACTACGGAATTTGTACCGTGTGTTCCGGCGATGAAATTTCGAATGTTGAACTAATTAATCAGCCTTTTCTATTATTTTACAAAATACCAGGCAAATAACTAAATACCCGCATCAGTAATATAAATTTACACATTTTCCGTTCATTAAATTTCCAAGAGGCCTCGTAGAATACATGTTTATGTGTCAGGACAGACGTTTACAAGATTTAATTTCGATAATTCAAAAAATAATTACCTTTTTAATATTACTAATAAATTGAGATTTTTTCTCTGAGACGGCGTTTTTAAAGTTCTTGATAACTGAGTGGGGCGAAATAACTGCGGGCAACGAATCACGATCATGCATAGTATTTTTTTGCACATCCATAACTTTGTCCAAAAATTAAATCATTATGACATCTAATGTAAATCTTTTGTAATTAGTTCTAGGTTGACCCCCATATAAGGGTATATTGACTAGACAAGTAATCTGACATAATAGATGCTGAAAAATAATCAAACACTGACAGAAATACTTCGATATGTTTGTCGTCTTGGTTTCTGAAGTTTATTTCTTAACTTCCAAGAGCTAATATCAATCCATTGACTAACTAGTACGCTCCATCAAAGGGCAATGCAGCATAGGTATATAAGTCATACAAATAGTTCTAAGACTAAGATTAGGCATTCGATCAGTTAGATAAGTATAGCTTTAACTTGCTTCAACTTATTCAGGTAGCTATACGTATTATGGACCTTTAGAGTGATCTACATTGATCATTCATATCTAATGAAGAAATCATGAGTTAAATTACAAGGCGTACGAAAGACCCTATAGATCAATATTTTTGACATTCGAAGTTACTTCATGTAAGAATGTAGGTTTTACGCGTCACTCATATTATATATGACTACAGTAGGACGCCCCTGTATTACATGATCTTTAATTTATCTCATTCATTAGATCTGATCATTCTGTATCATCTTTTCTTATCATATTGTCATTTGGTCTATCATACAATAATCTTTTTCATTCACATCTGGTCATCTTTTTTACCTCCAATTAAAGATCTTTTGCAAATTCGTAGTATAGCTATAAAAAACTGATCATCTAGTACATGCTCGAGTTACATTCTACTAGATTAAAACATGTAAAGCTCAGCGATGTAATATATACGATTAGAGTTGTTGCCCTATTTTGTAATGAACATAGACTTAAAAATATTACAAATATTTCTGTTTACAACGTATTCTGAATACCATTAGTCACTATCCGTAAAATATCATGAGATCTCAATCTCTCACTTTGTTAAACTCGCTCTGTGGCAGGCACCGATGTTTACAAATGGCGCGGCATTATGATTAATATTTCATATTCGAATTTAGAAAATTGCTCAATTGCACGTCAGTTAGGTTGCGCTCGATACTCTTTTCCGTTTCATATAATGGGATCAATCTTGGTATACCAGGAACTCGGCATCTTAATTAGATCAGTAGGCGATGAGCTACAGTAGTTGGATATTTTATTTTATTTTTAATTGATAAGTACATTGTTTGAAAGTTTTTGTTAATGATAGACCATGCAATTGAAAGAACAGAAGATAGGCTTTTGAATAAAGCTTGAAAGGCAAGTCAACCGACATTTTTAAAAATTTTCAAAATGCTACGCGTTTATGAGCAATAACTATTAGACGTCAGGCTATAACAAGCCTGTAACGTCTAATCTATTGGACTACAGTTAGGTATGCCAAAAATCCTTGTCGGACAGTAATTTTGTAATGCTTATTTATCAGAACGGAAATACCCCTAGATAAATAAGCGCAAAATTTAGTTCTTATTAAGTTTTTCTTCTACATGCAAGTTGTGCTATATGCGTAAATCACGCACATACGTCCGTTAACTAGAACACTGCACGGGAAAGGATATTTTAGACCGTCCATGTTGTATAGGGCGCACAGTAAAATTTCGGAACGCCCAGATTTATTTACACAAAAGACATAATTAAGTATAAATAATCATCGATTAGTTTAGAAAATAATGTGCCATGAACCACGGAAACAGTGGGCCATAAAAGCCAATTTAATTAATAGTACAATGTAGTAGCCACTAAAACAATACATCAAAAGTTCAAAACATATCTACCAATTGAATATACTGGTAAACTTAGCGTACATTTTTGTTGAAGTGTGTACATTTCAAGTCAATGATTTTTTAAGTTTTTAGGTGTGTAGATAAACAGCTATATCAAGGTCAGGGTCAATGACCGGGCGCAACCTTTTAAATCAAGATATTGATTCAAAAACTCTCCACCAATTACTTTATAATGTGTGAGTTTAACTTTTTTAAATATCATCAATGGTAAAATGCAAAAAAAATAATTAAATAAATCCTAATTCATGTTCATTGTTGTATAAATATATCGAACCTGTGAAAAGTCATCTTAAGGTGAGAAAAAACATGGCCTTTATACACAAGACGAAGTGGTCTTTATTTGAGATCTTTATCCAGAGGTAGTCCTTAACACAGGTTAAACTGTACTGTATACACAAGTCTATTCAAATATTACACAAAATGTAAATAACAAGAGCAACACCATTTTTTTTAATGTGTTGTCATATATTTGTTCTGCAGCCATAGATCTATTATTAAAACACCAAATAGAAAACAAATAAATCTTTTAAAGAATCAAATCATTGATTGATAAGATATTAAAATGTAGTTAAATGCTTAAAGGCAATGAACCAATATATCTTTTCTCAAAATCGTGTTTACATGAATAACAATGAAATGTCTTATTAGTGAAGTAAAACATGAAAGTGAGTTCGCTTGCACTAAAACCCGACATAATTTATGCATATTGAAAACATGACTTGTGTATTTCACTAATAATTTCATAATAGAATCTACCATGAAAGATGGATACGTGACATGTACATCTTGTTATGATATTAGAAGATCATGTATATACCCCACGCAGTCCTTGACCTATATTAAGTACGTACGTACGTACGCACGTACGTACAGTAGAACCGTTTCATATTTGAACGAATAATATATGCCATGCAAAAAATTCTGAAACACAATTTTGAATAAACATTGGCACAACTGTGCGCTATTTACAGATCAGATGCAAACAATGAAGATATTAAATTTCATTTTCTTATCGTAATTGTATTAACAGATGCTGTTTTCTATATGTAAATCATTGTGAATTTAAATCATTCTGACATAATGCATTAAGCCTACCTGTAATGAAAGGCTGTCGTAAATCCAGATTCACTGGTTGTTCGTCCATCCGAAGCATTTCTCTCCGAATCTTGTCCAGTTCCTTATCAAACCGGATTCGGGACTCTTCAAAACTCCCCATTCGCCAGTCATCGTCAAAAAGATGCAGCCATTCCGAGAACAAATCTCGCTGTCGGTCAAAGTATCCAAAATCCCACTTTGATAGCGGCACAATATCCCAGGACATGTTTTTGCAGGATGTTCACTCGATGTTGTACGGTGATTTTACCTCTCGTGCGGGTTCTACCATCGAGGTGAAAAAAAGTAGAAAACAGTAGTTCTATTTTTAGACAGCAATACTTTTTAAAGGTTAACTATCTCGACAGATGGATTGATCTTTCTTTCTATGGTGTGTAATCACAAATCCAAATTTATATGAATGATTTTATTTTATGTTAAACATATTTTGTTACATGTCTGCATGATTTTGAGAGCAAATAAATAAACAGTACTTACCAATCTATCTTTTACTCCGGGGCTGCCTTCGATTGCCTAACCCGTGTAAGTAGTGTCGATACCGGAAAAGCTCATATGCGCATGCGTACCTTTAATAGCAATCGAACAAGCACGAGTTGATCGGGTTGTAAACAAATATGGCTGCGCCCAGGGAATTATTTGCGTTATTAGAATTTCTAAGGCAGTACTTTGTTGAATCTGGACAAAAAGAACTGGTTATTCAAAGAAATCGGACGCTAACAATGCTACATGCCTGTATATCTGTTTATCTTTGTTCTCCAAGGGATGCCGTGCCTAAGGTGGATTTTTTTGCAGAGGATATTGTTCCAGCTATGTCTGCATTTGACTTTAAAAGCCATTTTAGAATTGAAAGAATGACTTATGAGATTATTTTGGAAAGGATCCGTCCACATCTGGTCTTTAATCACATTGGAGGAAAGGCTCCAGTAACCCAGAAAAACAGCTTTTGTTATTTCTGTGGTACATGGCCAATCAGGAATCAATGAGAGAATTGTGTGTGCTGTTCAAGGTTTCAATATCTACCGTCCATGCAATAATAACTAGAGTCAGCAAAATTATCTACAGGGTGCTTAAAACGGTAAACAACTTTTTTTGCTAGATAGTTTTTATATCATAGTAAAAATCAAGGCATTAGCAATCATTTCCTTGTCATTGGCACCAGAGACATAGATGATGTTATCTGTCTCTGTTGGCAATTATATGAAAAAAAATACTGTAATTGTTGAAAGATCTTTATTATGTTGTTGATACTAAAAGCTGTATGAGAATCCCTTCTATTATAAGACGATTTATAATAATCAAGTAAATTATATTCCTTTCTTTCAAGGAGTTGTAGTTAATACTTGCTAACTTGAGACTCAATTTACAGTGATATATTTTACAACTTTATCTCATGAAATTATATTTAAGGTTATACAATGGCCTGACGAGAACAGACAAGTGGAAATCGAAAGAGAATTCCAACTTCAAAGTGGAATACCACATATTGTTGGCATCATTGATGGTACCCACATTCAGCTTTCACATGTTCCAAATGGGGATCAGGATTATGTCAATAGAAAGTCATATCCTTCAGTTCAGTTGCAGGTGAGAATCTGCTGCAATAGTTACCCTTATTATGCTGAATTTTGTAAATGGACTATTTATTAATTTTTCCTTTGTTATTGTGACGGTTAGGAGCATATCAAAATCTATTACATAGTACATTGTGTGCATACATGTGCATGCATGTCTCGCTTTATACTGATTGCTAAACTTTTTTTGTTGTACTGAATACCATATGTTAGTTGGTACACAGATAAGGTAACTTAAGTGTAGAATCAAAATAATCATCAATGTTCTGAACAATAAATTAACATCAAAAATATATACTACACAGGCCAATCATACCTTATGGGATGATTTTGAGAAGTCTTTATAAGTTTTAGTTTATATTTTTCATATTGGCAAATATTTGTCTCATTTATTTCCTTTCAGTTGGTTGTTGATCATGAAATGCTCATCACAAGTGCTCAAACCGGTTGGCCAGGATGCACGCACGATGCAAGGGTACTACGTAATTCAGGTATCTATGACAAAGCAAATGCTGGCAACCTTGTAAATCCTGAGAGGCATATAATTGGAGATTCTGCATATCCTTTACGCACATGGCTGGTGACACCTTACCGAGACAATGGTCATTTAACTGGCAGACAGAAAAGATTCAATCGAATGCTCTCCTCCTGTAGACAAAATGTGGAAAGAGCCATTGGTCATTTAAAAGGACGTTTTCGCCGATTACGAGAAATATCATTATATACCATGGAAGGTGTTTGTTACTTTATAATGGCTGCCTGCGCACTTCATAATCTTTGTATCATAAATCATGATGACATTGATCAGTTTCTAGACAATGCGAACGATTTGAATGGAAACCCCAATCGGTATCCTAATGTTTTCAGAAATGCAATTGGAGGTGATGCTAAACGACAAAGACTTCTTCAGTTGATACCTTAAACGTAATTAGTGTTTGACGGAAGTCACTCTTGTGCAATTAATTTGAAAAGTGCTCCCACTGAACAGTAACCTATTCTTCAAGACTACTGTAGAATAAATGCAGAGGATGGAAACAGTTGAATGTTCCATCTTGTATAACTTTCACTTGTTATATGAATTTGTTTTATATTAATTCTCAACTTAAAGGTTCTACTCATTAAATTTCCTGAAGTTTATTACTAAGTATTTAAATTTTTCCTCACCACAATAAAATTGTGATGCTTCCCATTCAAGATATCTTTCCTATGACTTGAAAGTGCTCAAACGTTCTAGAATCACATAAAAACTATCCGTAAGACTTTTCTCAATGCTCAAGTCTAATTGAAAGCTTTGTAGAAAAGTAGAACAGGCATTATACAATCGAATATATAATCAGAGTTCTGTTGATTGTTTCCAAATTAAACACCTCGACAGTAACATATAAATTTCATATTGAAAAGAAAGTTCTATGTTGTAAGGGGGCAAAACTGATATTCATCTCAAAAGCTGAACTAATTAAGGAGAAGAGATAAACAATAAGAAAGTTTAATGATTTTAATCAACATAAATTATAAAATGTCAACTGCTACTGCAGTGTGATAGTATAACACTTAACTAAAATGAGCAACTTTTACTCGATACACAACAAAATTAATACATGTAATACTCAAAATGAATAAATCTTGACTAGATCTGCAATAAAATAAATAATACACAAAATGAACAAATCTTTACTTGTGCAATAAAATAAATAATACACAAAATGAACAAATCTTGACTAGATCTGCAATAAATAAATAATACACAAAATGAACAAATCTTTACTTGTGCAATAAAATAAATAATACTCAAAATGAACAAATCTTGACTAGATCTGCAATAAAATAAATAATACACAAAATGAACAAATCTTGACTAGATCTGCAATAAAATTAATTATACAAAAAATGAATAAATCTTGACTAGATCTGCAATAAAATAAATAATACACAAAATGAACAAATCTTTACTTGTGCAATAAAATAAATAATACACAAAATGAACAAGTCTTTACTTGTGCAATAAAATAAATTATACACAAAATAAACAAGTCTTTACTTGTGCAATAAAATAAATTATACACAAAATAAAACAAGTAACTGGTGTTGTTCACAACACACGTCCCCTACTGGTGCTACCTTGATTCAATTTGGAATAGTATTATTATACCTTTTCACTCAATTTTGTTTCTAGTTTGTGTAATTGCCCCTATGTTTCATATACAACACCATCAAATTTCATTTACCCTATTGCAGTATCAAGAATTTGCAACATCTGCTTTAATTTTACACAATCATTGAGACTGATATTGTTACTCCGGATAAAATAAATCAACATCACATCACCCAGAGAACTCTTTAAATCAAAATATTTTTAGGATTATCTCCCTTGCTGGTATGTGTTCCCATGTTCATAGTGAAGAAGTATTCCGAGTCTGAAGAGAATATCTCTCATAATAGTTCTATAAGAGACAAATTCTTGAAATTCAGTGAATTTTCTAAGTCGAAAAAGGAGTATGTGTTCCTCTTTGAACATTTATTCCAAGTAAATACCTTTGATAGTTTTTGAGTAATGGACACCATAGAAAAATTTAACCAACGCATACACTGATGCAGACGACCACCAACCTATGATATCTAGACTTTTTCTTTGAAAAATAGAGCTAAAAATGACCCAACATTTCTAAAAAAATATCTCAATTAGATCACATTCACACAACAAAAAGTGCATGTAATTTCTAAAAAATCTGTGAGCACGTACAGGCCAAGGTCTATTAATCAAACTAGCACCATAGAAACACTGACAGTATAACACTGACAGCAATACAATTAGGTTGGCTATGCCTAATCAAAAAGTGTAATTTAAGTTACATGTGAACCAAAGTTTGTTTGCTGGAAGCGGGTACAAGCTTTTAAGAAAAAAACTTGATTGTACAAAATGTATAGTTTCAGCTGACCTTATCAGTAAGGCAATGTGAACAACACAAACATTTGTTTTGCCATTGCATAATGTGAAAGTACATAAACTAGTCTTGGAACACTGGTAATTACAATTCTTACATATATACGGGTACATTACATATGAAAGCAAAACATGAAACTTATCAAACATGATGCAATTTTATGGGTGTCAACTTGACACTTATTTTAATGCACAGGTGAGCTAAAAAAAACAAGAGGCCATGATGGCCCTGAGGTCGCTCACCTGTATATAGCCCCCCCCCCCCCCTCCCCGGGCCAATTTTTACCCAAGGGCTTTTATTTGTTTATTTGAACAGACTTGGTAGACACCCATAAGAGGATGTTTCATGCTAAACATCTAAGTTCTAGCTCATTGGGTTTTTTAAAAGATACATAGAGCTAAAAACAATGACAGCCCTGGGGCAGGGCCAGTTTTGACCCGCGGGCTTTTATTTGAACAAACTTTGTAGATATTTACTTAAAGATGTTTCATGCTTAATATCTAAACTCTAGCTATTTGGGTTTTTTCAAAGAAGATTTTTAAGTTTTTGCTATACACATATAAGGAAAATCAATGACTGCCCCCCCCCCCCGGGCGGGCCAGTTTTGACCCCAGGGCTTTTATTTGAACATACTTGGTAGACACCCATTAGAACATGTTTCATGCTAAATATCTTAGCTCTAGCTTATTGAGTTCTTTAAAAGAAGAATTTTTAAGTTTTTACTTTATGCATATAGGGAAAATCAATGACCCCCTGGGGCGGGGCCAATTTTGACCCCAGGGCTTTTATTTGAACAAACTTGGTAGACACTCATTACAAGATGTTTCATGCTAAATATCTTAGCTCTAGCTCTTTGGGTTCTTTAAAAGAAGATTTTTTAAGTTTTTACTATATGCATATAGGGAAAATCAATGACCCCCTTAGGGGGGCCAATTTTGACCCCAGGGCTTTTATTTGAACAAACTTGGTAGACACTCACTAGAAGATGTTTCATGCCAAATATCTAAGCTCTAGCTCTTACGGTTCTTTAAAAGAAGATTTTTTAAGTTTTTACTATATGCATATTGGGAAAATCAATGACCCCCCAGGCGGGGCCAATTTTGACCCCAGGACTTTTATTTGAACAAACTTGGTAGACACTCACTAGAAGATGTTTCATGCCAAATATCTAAGCTCTAGCTCTTTGGGTTCTTTAAAAGAAGATTTTTTAAGTTTTTACTATATGCATATAGGGAAAATCAATGACCCCCTGGGGCGGGGCCAATTTTGACCCCAGGGCTTTTATTTGAACAAACTTGGTAGACACTCACTAGAAGATGTTTCATGCCAAATATCTAAGCTCTAGCTCTTAGGGTTGTTTAAAAGAAGATATTTAAAATTTTTCTTTCGGTTGCCATGGCAACCAGAGTTCTGCAAGGAATTAAATTCTTTGAACAATTTTTAAAGGTGACCACCAAAGAAACATTCCTGTGAAGTTTGGATGAAATTGGCTCAGTGGTTTATGAGGAGATGTCATTTAAAGCAAAAGTTAACGGACGGACGCCGGACGGACGCCGGACGAAAAGCGATCACAAAAGCTCACCCTGTCACTTTGTGACAGGTGAGCTAACAAAAGTATATTCTAAATTTAATCACAGCAAAAACATTTTATACAAAAAAATAAAAACGAAACAAATATCAAACAGACTTCCAACATCTGGTTTACAGTCGCATTTATCTTTTATTGGAATCACCAAAATGGAATGACACAAAAAATACATTTCAGGTATTAAAAACAGGCCTATATGTCAGCAACGTATCCCATTTCTTAGATGCTTCTCAGTTATTTCCACTTAAGATCTGGAGCACCAACTCTAGGAAAAACATAAAAGCATCTTGCAAACTTAAGGTAGAGCGCGGGGATATAGTCCAGTATTAAATGACTAAAGTTAATGTCACTGTATCTGTCTACAATATCTGCCCACATAAGAGAACTACCACATGGTTCCAGATCTACAGACTTAAGTAAAGAGCAGTTTAGTAAAACTGCTTCCAGTATGTATGGTTCAACAGACTGGCCTAAGTCAACTGCCCGTAAAGCTTGTAGTTGTGGCAGTTTCCTGCTTATTTCAAACAAACAGACTAAATTTACCTTGAATCCACTAATGTCAAGTCCTATAAGATTTGTGTGATATAAAACTTTTAACAAATCAAAACCATCAAATCTAGTGTAATAGCCATGAATGACTAAAATTTTAAGTTTTGTCAACCTAGAAATGAAGACCAAACTACTACATAATGCACCTTGCAAGTACAGAGCTTGTAAATTGGTAGCAAGCTGAAGATATCTTTCAGCATTTCTTAACCTGCTACTTAAATTTAGTGAAATATTTGTGAAAAATTGCCAGATATACTTTGTTACACACAGATGATAAAATCGTTTGCTTACAAACTGCAACCTTATCAAGTCTGTCACATTCAAAAATACAAGAATGTGCAATAAAATGTCATTTGGAAGTGTATCCAAGTAGCACCCTGACAACTGCACCTGAAAAAGAAATAGGCTTGTGACAGGTTATTGGGTTTCACTACAGACTACCAAGGAAATTTTAACTCTCTCAATTCAGTCCAGAACTGCTTTTCTCCTGAAATTCCTTTAACTACACTGAACAAATACAAGAGCATTACCTTACATATGAAAACACTGTTTTTTTTTCTTCTCAGAATAAAAATTGGAAATCTTTCTGCAGTAATTATTTTCAACTAAGAATGTCTAAACACTATATGCATCTAAGCAATAGCTATTAAGGTTAAATATTTTAATTGATACAATTTATAACTAGAAATGTGTCCATAGGACACGGATGCCCCCACACGCCACTGTTCTGTCAATCTTATGACTCTAGGTCAAATATTTTTTGGACTACATGTGCCACAAGTTGAAAACTAAAAATCAACAAAGGGCCATCATTCTGTTAAATTTGGTCGCAGCAAAAATTCCTTCCTTTACTACCATCTACACATTAAGGTTGTTCATCCCTAGAAGTTTAAGCAAAATCTGCCATCCGGTTTAAGAGGAGTTGCGTTCACAAGAATTCGGGACGTACGGACGGACGGACAAGTGCAACGCTATATGCTCCCACTCTGTGGGGGCATAAAAAAAACCCTATGTTGAAAAAAAAATCAAATTGCCAGAAAAAGTAATCTCTTCTTGCCAATACTGTTTACAAAAATCTTTAAAAGTAACCTAAAATATCTGAGAATGGCCTTAGTGACCATAACATGATTAAGTTATGTCTACTTTGAGTCAAGTGACTTTTCAAATAAGTCCAAAAATCTGTCAAATCTTTTCATTTTCTGTTCCTCTTGTTTTTTCACAAATTCATTGAAATCCTCATTTTTCTTTTCAATACATTCCAAAAGCTTGACAACTTTGTTTCGTGGAGAGTTGACAGTTTTTGATGTCACTTTTCGTTTATTGACATTTTCCTTGCTTTGAACTACTTTTGGTACAGACCCATTTGAATTACAAGGAACACAATTTACCTCATTTTCAACATTCACTTCTGAAGCTGCACTCTCTGTGTTTGATGTGTCGAGCACAAAACTGGGTTTTGTTGAAGCTTTAGTGCCATACAATTGACTGAAAATGTCAAAATATTTACAGGTGTTTCTACAATTTCCAGTTTTACCATTTAAATCTACAATTTCCATGTACTTTCGTTTTAAGTTTTTCCATTTATCCTTTATTTGCTGTGCAGAAACCTGCACTCCTTCCTTTTCCATTTCTGTCTGAATCTGGTTCCAAAGAACATTATGAGACTTGGTTTGGTTGAATTTGTCATCAAGTGATGCTCTTTTATCTATTAGTAACCTTTCCTCACTTTCTTTCCACTGATGGACTTGACTCTGGTTGCTTTTACATTGGCTTTCTTCACTGCTGGTGTCACAGACTGTAGCTGAAAATAAGTTATTTATCATTTATCATTTTGTCAATTGTATTTAACAGTACTTAACAGCCATTTAAATACTGGCCTATTACCATACCCAATTTACTCTGCGGCTTCTAGCCTACACACCAGTCTGTAGTGGAACAGACAAGTAACAAAAATAAAAAAAATCCTGGGAGGGTCTAGCATCTACTTTGAAAATATAATAGTTGTGAAAAGGCCAGCATATTACTTGGCTACTCATTACTATTCCTAGAATTAAACCAGAACCAGGCAACACCAATCCCTTAAAACTGTGTACATTCATGCATGAAAAGTTGGTCTGTGGAACTCCTTGAACATATGACCCTTAAAAGATCAATCAATAGTCTTAATCACTCCATCATGATGGCAGTAAAATATGAATTGTAAAGGTATAATTCCCAGAAAGTTGTACAAAATATATAATATTTATTCTGCAATACCTGAGAGTGTGGGAGTGGGACTACTGGCTGGTAGTGGCCCTACTTCTGGCACAATAATTGACACAACCAAACTCTCTGAAAAATGAAAAATAATAATTAAGTAGAAGCATGTTTGTCTTGTGATGTGAGGAACTTAGATTATACTATGGTACAAGTGTCAAAGTCAGTTGAACTTTTTTCACATTCAGGAATAGACAGGGAGTCTCTTAAAACATGTCAGTTTTACACAGTAATATTCATTTACAACTCTATTGTCACATAACAGTCTATCTAATGATGTCTGTGATATATGCCCAGTTAGCTCAGTTGGTTTAAAATAATAGAGAATAAAACTTGCAAGCAGAAGGTTGCCAGTTCGAGTGCCTTGCTAGGCGACACATTTTCTTCTCCTGTTACATTGGTGCCATACGAGTGATTAGTACCTGGCTTTGAAATCCGCATTGATGAAGCAATGGCTGATTAGCCTAAGGTGTCTTTGGTGGTACAATTACCTTGTTTAATTACCTGTATAATAACATAATTAAAAAAAAACACTAAAAACCTGAAGGGAGAAATGTAATAGTGCACATTTATGTGCAAATAATGTCTGTGATACATGTCCGGTTAGCCCCTTACCTGCAAGCAAGAGGTTGGGATACATTTTCCTTTCCTGTTACACATCAATTTTTGTGTATTTTAACAAAAACACATTTAACAAGTAAATATGCCAAATAATGTCCATAACTGTAAGCTTATTAAAATTTTACCTCCAGCAGGTCGTGCGTTTTCATTGTAGGCCTTCATGATTTTCAAAGCCAGCTCTTGATCTGAAACAAAGCATTTGACAGGCATTTTTTTACACAATTTACTTCAACCCGTGTTTAAAAATTTGGTCATTATGCTTATTCTAATAGTTTTAATGATCAAATGATGAATAAAAGTAACATTCAAATTTGAACAAGTGTCATTTTAAGTCTTCAGGTAAAGCAGACCCCCGATAGTTTCAGTTACATATATCACCGCCTTAGTTCGGTATTACAAGTCATGTAGGGAATACGACTTACATACAGTAGAATGTATACTTTATGATAATCAATTTACATCAGATGTAACCAGGGATCAAACTTGCAACCAGACGTATTCATTTCAAAGTAATAGAATTACTTTCCTGTTTTGCACACACTATATGTATGTACAACATTTGATTTTCCTATGTAGTACAGATTGGTGATTACTAGTATTACAAACATGTATTAATTAGGACAAGAAAAAAACATCTTGTGGTTAGGGTTACATGCCCATTTGAAATAGGTAGGGTAGGTAGGTTTTTTTTTAAATCATTCAAGATGCTTACAAAGGTATTCATACTGACATATCTAAATGCCATAATTTAACCCAGTTATAGTACTTTATTTCCATGATGATATACAGCAATGTATCTTTATATCAATAAAATTTTTATATATAGTATATGTTGCATCATTTCAAATGCATGTCTACAGATGAAAAATAAACATAAAAAATTTAGGGTCGGAAGGTTTTGCCAGGTAGACTAGTTGTAACATGATACTGATTATATCAATGTGTACATGCGCATGCTTAGAAAGTAGTACAACAGGTCTTGTTAGGAGTTAATCTCCTGTATTTAACTTGAAGTCATAGAACACACTTGTGTCTCTTATTTCTCACTAGAGTTATATGTTATATACTTGTTAAACTCATATACAAAACCACATAATATTACAGTAGTGTCAAGTTACCCTAACCACAACATTTTTTAGGCCTTACCTCCATTTGAAATTTGCTGAACAAGTGGTTCCTCTAAAGCTACACAGTCTTGCTTCCCATTTTCCATCACCATGAACACCCTCTTGTACCTAATAAAATTAACATCAAGGAAATATTACTTTAATCATATCTACTTATTTATGTAAGTCTGTCGCAACATTTGATCAAATTGCTTTGAAAAATATAGCGAATTAATTAAACAGGGAAGTCAAAGACCGGGCATCCTGGACTGACTTGCCCGGGTATAGACATAGACTAAGTGTATTTTAAAAGAAACATAAATTTAATGAAAAAATATACTGTATATACCCATCAGAAAATTTTTCAATGTCATTTTGCCATTCATGGGGGCGCCATATTGGATTGAAATCTCTGACACAAAGTCAAACAATATTCAGTGATCAAGTTTTTAATTCTAGCTTTGAAAATATAATATGCATTTCTATCTCAATTATTTGTACTAAAAATACAAGAAAACTCATATTTTGTTATTGTATGACTTCCCCATTCCATTGGCTTTACCTAAATTCATATTATTTAGTACGAATAATTTTGATGACGAACTGTTTCTTAATTTACTAACATGCGGTTGGCATTCAATACCTTTGGGCGGAGGAAATAATGCTTGAATTACTTTAACTATTTTATATAAATAAAGTAAAGATAAATTCAAAGGCTATATTAGATTCTATTAACAAACAAAAGCAGAAAAACTATAAAAAATCCTCTCACTTACTCCTTTCCAACGTTGTTGGCCGCCATTTTTAACACTTCTGACCCAGCTGATAGGCAGTGTCCAACCCGCGTTACTCGGGTACGCAAAACTGATGACGTATTACTCAACTCTACCTTGTTCGATTGTTACCCGTGTCGAAAGTGTTAAACCCGCGTTAGCAATCGAAGGCAGCCCGGTTGTCTGAAGCAATATTTAGTATAGATTGTTCACCTTTAACAAAAAAATGAGCATGCGCATTCGCCGTCGCTAAATTTATCTCAAAAATAAAAAAATGATTGCAAAAACTTATCATTTAGCCATATAAAACAATTAATTTTCAATAATTTTGATGCTGTCACATTAAAGGAAAGATAGATCGATAAAATGGCTAAATTTTTCTGATTCACTAGTTTACGTAACACGGATACTGCGTCAGAGAGAATTCTCTAGAAGCATCCAATATGCTGTACATGTTTAACGTCCTTGAATGTTCGCGAATGTTCTATTTTTAACTAGGTATTTTCCGTCTTTTCGCCGATATATATAAATAGACCGCGATCATGCGCACGGAAGTCAAACTAAATTCAAAACAGTTGATTTTCGCCAAAAACTAAATAAAATTGCACAAAATAAAAGTAATAATGTCTATGCTACCGCATTCGAGGTTGAATTTTGGATATTTTGACCGACAGATGGACTTATTTCCGGACTGGGTGCATTTGTTTAATAATGACTGGCGCATGGCAAATTACACGGACTCTCGGCTTCGGTTCGGTCGTCTGCTGGAAAAAGTCCGACGGGAAATGGAGAGAATGGACGTCCAGCCTATCAACATGGATTTACGAAATCCGTTTATAACAGGTAAGTTGATCCATAGATTTTTTTACTGTTTTTTTGTTCATATTAATAGATCTATATTTTATTTAAGTCTAGGTCCTCACTCAATGGAAGATATATAATATAGTAAAATGCATGTTTATAGAGGTGACAGTATGGTAAATATTGTAGGTCTATGTGTTTATGTATATTTTCATGAATAAATCGATATGGAATATCTTACGTTTCACTGTATGAACAGTAAAGTTATGTTGTTTCGATAATTTTATGGTCTTCATGAGTTGATATGCTAACGAATGAAATGTCCTGGAGCAAAATAATTATATCAGTGCTCTCTCTCTCTTAAGTAAGCAATGATGACGTGCATGCGCAATTTGCTCATACCTATTTCTTTCATTTTTAAAGTGTCCTTTCTTTCAAAATGAAAATTACACACATAGCTTTATGTATATACTTTGCCGCAAAATATCTAAGTACATATATGATTTTAATTCATTTTTTATAGATCCCGAAGGTCAGCACAAATTCACCCTTCGTTTTGACTGCAGTCAGTTCAAGCCGGACGAAATAAGCGTGAAGACACATGACGGCCGACTTCGCGTGCACGCAAAACACGTGCACGAAGAAGATATGAATCGCAAAGTGTATCAAGAGTTTTATAGGGAGTGCGTTACTTCCGGAAAATGTTTGATCCAGAAAACGCTAAAGTTCATGTCTCACCGAGGATGGCGTTCTTCAAATCGAGGCTCCTGTTCCGAGCACAGTTATTGCACCAAAAGAACATTTGATTCCAATTGAGCATCTTAAAAGGGACACTAGAAAAGACCGACAGGTGGTACCATTTACGGAGGAGGAAGATGGTCAAAGTCCACAGTAAGTGACTGTAGTCTTTATGGATATAATGATATATAATCGTATTCTATAGGATTTGAACTTTGTGTAAATAGATACTGATTGAAGAATGTATTTTATGAAGAAAAGGGAAAAAATTTAATATTAATACAGGAATGTAATTTAAATTAGTCAATTTTGAATAAGTTTAAGATGTAAAACTAGAATTAATTTAGTCAATACAAATATTAAAGTAGAAATAAATATGAAAATACATTGGATTACACAATATTATTTTGATAATGAAAACTTTAATGTATATTGTCCTTATTTTCATCACTGTTTTTGTTTGTCATAGCATAATAGTTTTATTATTTCATAGAAGGTATTATGAATATGTTTAAGCTGTAAATAATTATTTTGTTAAGGAAAAGAATAATATGACATAAATTCGTTAGTCATTTCTATATACGAAGTAAATATTGTTTTGTTTCCTTTATGTAAACTTGTTTTGTACAAATTTTTAATCTTGTTACTAAATAAAAATATTTTCCTTGCAAATGTATCGTTGTTTTTTTTTCTTAACAAAATCTTTATATGATATAATTACTTTTAAACGAAAAACAACAGCGAATCATCCTCCTCCTCCTCAACAACAACAACAAAAACAACAACAGAATTGTTTCTTACTGCAATGTCGTTTGTGTTTGTAATATACTGGTAACTGAGTTACAAGCCACTGCCGCGGATTCGAACTTTTTGTAGCTCCTACCTTGACCGGTCAGCTTACCAATCTAGCACTATAGGAAGATCATAATTATATAGGTTATACCGAGCTGGTAATTCATTTACTATAACGGCATTCACAACTGAAAGTAAAATCGATAACTGTTTCCTAATGAAAGGCACATAGTTATACTAATGTCTTGCCAATTGAAATGTTAATATTCTTTTTATTAACGTTATTAAAAAAGGGGATGACATGTTATGTCATTAAAACAAAGATCTTAGCAGATGTTAGTTTTACCTCCAGTATCAACCAAGACAACAGACGGAATTCTTATAGAACATTATACATACACTCTTGAATTTACTTCCGTAACATTAAAGAACGTTTTCGCGTTACGTGTTATACCGAATAATATCCCAAAGAGTCGTTTGTGACAATGAAATGCTAGAGTTTTTTGTAGCAGAATATTTACACAAGTATATGATAAAATACGGTTCTTGTACGTTATGAGAAAAATTATATATTTTTTAAACCTTTGACACGCTGCTTTTTGCAAGGCCAAATCTTAAGAAAGAGTGAGTGTGTGAGATACATTTAGTAAAAGAAGAAAGCGAAAGAAAAACGTTTGTTTTTCATTAAACTGATTAAATATAGATACATTTAGTAAAATAAATAACGGACATAAAAGACCCATTGTATTATAAAACTCTTATTTACCATAAATTACAATGTAATAATGTTTCGTGGTCAGGTATTTTATACGGACTAATATTTTATACAGGACGTATTTGTGTACGTGATTCATGCTGGCAGTAAATTTAGCGAAATATATACAAGCATGTACATTGTATATTATAATATAATGCACGTGTAACGTTGAATAAAAAGAGAAGACCGGTGTTTATATCTTACAGAGTTGTGTTCAGATACACGATGTGCAAAATGCTGGATAATGTTGAAGTTTTTTGTTCTTGTTGTTTCATATACATGTACAATGTATGTATTTGAAAATTATGAATGACACCAACAAGATGTGGCTCTTTTGCAAGAGGAGTAATAAAGATGACTTGAATATTTTATAAAGCAAGAGTTACCTCCCATTAACTAGTATTTCCGCATCACGCACATGTAAATATCGGAAAATCATTCAGTACATCTCCTAGTTTAAATAAATGCTGTTGACATATGATTATGCCCTGTATGGTCACATACCGGTATAATAAATACAAATAAAGACTAAATTTGTGCAATTTTATATCGAAAAATAGACGTACATAAAAACATTAAAATCCTCCTCTAACCTTTAAATCCAATTAATATAAAAAAATAAAAATAGAGATGTTCATCATAAAAGTTTTTTTTTTTTTTCTGCATCATAATTAAGGTCGTTTTTTCCCTTGGTGC